TAATCACAATCATAAAACCAAAATATAATTAATGATCTATGTATACATTGATTTAAAATATTTACATATAATTTTAAACTTAAAATACATTCAAACTATAATTTATAGATATAATCTTAAAATTTACATCAAACAGAAAATTAAATAAGAAATATATAAACACAGAATTTTGAGGACACTGGAAATTTTCACCATTCCAACCTAAGAGCATCACAATACCCTTATTTTCTTGTTGTGACTAGAGTCCGTAATTTGACTACATATATAGCAGTTTCATATATTAAATAAATTCTATTAATATAAATTTCATAAAATATATTCCTAATCATGACATAAAATTATCATATACAACATGTACATTACCAAATATCTAATCTATCAATTACACAATCATATATTAAACGCTGAGATATTAAAATTAGTTTATACTATTAAAAATTACGAAAACCTTTTTTTGGTGTAGAATAAATACGCCAAACCACTGGATTAACAAAGTTTCCACAGTATATATTTTGAATTTTGTATTTGTATTTGATTAATATACTTTTAAATTAGTATAATTTACGAAGAAAATTTATTTAAGTAATATACTTTAGCATTACCTCTTAATTAAAGCTTGAATTATAATCTAATAGATGAGTGGTACAACTATTAAGCCATTAAAGATTACGAGATTAAATGGCAATCCAATTTATTGATAATATTTCTACTAGGTCTTTTGGTCTTTTGATAATGTCGATTACGAACAGAGAGAACAAGTCTTCTAATGATTATATATGATTTCTCTCAACGTAAATGTTACTTCAGTATTTATGTTTGTTTTCTGTTCGGTCATAATTTATTCTCACGATTGAAGAATGACAAGCCTAGTCTTTCTTTTATTTCTTCACTAGATTCTTTCTCCGCGCTACGCGCGGATAATATACTTATATTTGTCATATTTATCATTTTTAGTTTTATGTGAATTTTTATCTTTTAAATTATATTTAACTAATTTTTAAATTTGAATATTTTATATTTTCAGTTTGAAGTAAGTATTTTAAATTTGAATATAATTTAAGTTCTATGCATAATTATATTCTTTACA